AGTGTAAGGTAAGTGTACATTAAATACATTCATAAAGTCTGTTGAGACATATGCTGCGCTGTAATGCTGAGAGCCAGGTGTGGAAGGCACATTAGCAAGCTGCTCTCAGCCCTTCAACAAGTTATACTGTAAAACAATGGTTTTGTTCAATGCAAGGTGGAGAATTTTAGAGCAAACTTGCCTCTTAGAGTTCAAAGTACTCTTGATGTTATTCTGAAAAATTTAGGCTTTTAAAAGCAACTCAAATAAACCCACATTTTGATCATATGGTTTTTTTAAGCAACATACAAGGGTGAATAGACGGTTTCCAGACAGACTAATTTGTTACCGAGCTAGCCTGCTTTACCACAATCACTCCGCCAGTCAAAAGTTCATTCGTACAAGATTGAAAGACGCACAATCCGCAAGTACTCAGCATCGATTTTGACAACTGCCTCCAAAATGATAAGCTCAACTAACACTGCTACATGAGCTTCGGACAAAATTAGTTCGTCCACTTAACATTTTGAAGGTCCAAAGCAAAGCTGAATTCAGTGATGAGCAAAATGTTTCGAAATTAACGGCGAGATGTAAAGAATGTTAGGTGAAGTGGAGAAAACGTGGTATGCATCAATCTTGGTCTTGTGGAAGGATGCCTCTCATAAATATTTTTTTTGTCCTCAGCGTAGAGATAAATATAGTTTTTTTCGAAATAGGAAACTGCAATTTTTCCGCAAAATCAAAAAGGACTCTGAGCAAAAAAGGGAAATCCCAAAAGGAATGGTTGAGTGGTAGCACTGCACTCACAGAAAGCCACATCGTCTATCGGTGTACTGACGGACGGCTGGAAAGGAAAAGCAGCGGACGGTAATGTGAATGAAGCGGAGACGTCACAGTCTCCATCGTCGCCGTTGTCGCAAGGGTCAACGACGTCTTCAGTGGCGGCTGTCCATTCGAGGCGATCTTCCGTCGTCGTTCCTGGCCGCACCGCTTGCATCTTGTCGAGCAAATGCGAACGAAATGCTACCGGGCACAGCTGACGGAGGGCGATTCGCCAGGATAACAGCATGCAAACCTGGTGCCGTCTCTTTTGACCCTAGATTTCAAGGTGAATTCCTCTGGCAATTAAGTATC